CCTGGAAAAAAAGATTCTATCCCATCCAATATCACCACTAACACCACAATACCCCCAACACCCTCATTCCCCATCCCCCCACCCCTTAGCCGCTTCCTCATTCTGGGTGACAGCCAGGGACGCGGTACAGCTCCGAGGGTAATGGATGGTTCTGGTGGTGATTTTACACCTGGGGAATGCAAAGCACCCACTTTACCATGTGACAAAGGCACCAAGCACCCCCACCCCACTCTCCATCTTCTCCTCACCTCTTTACCAGGCATTATTTTGCTCTGAGATTAAATCAATCCTCTACATACCGGCCCTGTTGCAGGAAACTGATTCCAGAGGGTATTAAGGACATATTTACTGATGATTGCCTCTAACTAACTCGGCTGATGGGAATAACACAGGGGGACTCCTTTCTGTCAGATCCACACAGAGACAGAGGCCGACCGAGTGATCCAGTGCACATCACTGGCAGCCATCTTAGCCTTACAACCCACTTCCAAACCCCGAACCTGCATGACAGAGTCTGTGTATTTCATATGCCAGGCTTATACCACCAATCCAAACAGAAATACTTGCAAACAAACGGCAGCTAACAAGTACAACTGTCATATTCCATTCTGTATGTTGTTGTTCCCTTTTTGAGTAGGCTTTCATCATGATTTTGTTGGCATTTATGAACCGTGAGTGGACTCAGTCTTCTGTGCAGAGCCCTCTGTTATATAAGCTACAAATGAAAACAAAATTTGAGCCATTACTGCTTGTGGAGTGTTCTCTTAAATTAAGGGGATGTATAAAACACTTGTGTCAGTTCAAACTTGGTGAACAGATGATTCTTTTCGAGACTGTCCTCCTGTACAAGGATGTGAAGGTTGCCAGTGGAGTGCTCATATGCAACATATAACTGTTACAGTGATGGCAAAAGTCTGGTAAGCGTGCCCTGGACGGGTCCTGTGCAAATCCTATGACTCAGATCCCTGCATTTCAACTACATGGGCCAGACATGACCATTAACCTGGAGGTTCTGGCAACATACAGTATACACTGTGGTCTATTGGAGGCCATTTGTCAGTGGATTAGACTTTGAGAGTGGATCAGATCTGAGATTTACATTATTAGATCCATTCATATTCATGCACTCAGTGAAGTCACAGACTGCTCGTGGTCAGAAAATCCAGCCTGGGGCATTGATATCTTGGAAGCTGATGGTTTGATGAAGAACAGTCCAGGTTTGATGTCTGTTTCTGGTTTCAGAACATGACTTCCAAACAGGTTCTGGTCTGCTAATTGTCTTGCATAGTGATTACAAGCTAGCTGACAGGCGATGCCACTATGGCTGACAAACAGACTAGCAAGCTCCCAATTCTTGCATTTGCTGTGACAGTATACAGTTCGTGACCAGCCGACTGGCGTGGTTTCAGCTGAAGCAGCTGACATGAGATGGATGTTGAATAGTGCACTTTGCTCTCCACTCTTATGTTAGCCGTTAGCTGGATTTAGGAAAGCTAAAAAAAACTCTAAAAATTTCTTGTGGCAATTCAAAATTATGACAAAACAAGTTAAAAAAAATTGACTGATTAGATTATGACAAAGTCTCAAGCTGCTTTTCACCTACCATCTCAACATGATGGTCTTTCTTTAAAAGATTTAAACTCATTGGTCAATAATATTCGCTCATCATAAAAATGATCTTCCATAACAAAGTCACACGTTAGTACGTAAAACTAGAAGGAAAAACTGACATTATATCGAGTATGATTGTCATGGTAGTGAAATATTACCAGTGAAATTGAAGACAGGCAAAGCCTCCATCCAACATCAGTTAGGAAAAAGACTGGCTCCTCAGGGAGAGACACAGACATTCTAATTCTCCCTGCTTGGCATCAAAAGGTGCTGAAGGTCAGACTTTCCTCATGACTTTGGAGAGATAAGAACATTTGTTCGGCCATTTCAGGACTCTGACTGCATTTTAGGAACAGAAAATCTCTTTTATAACCCTTTGCCCTTAAGAGCTGCTCTATTCCTATCTGCAAAGATCAAACCCTTTTTTTCTGTTTTGCAGGCAAGCAGCAATAAGGATAAACATCTTGAGCCTAGCTCATGTTGCACTAATCACTTTAGATGGCATTGGTTCCAAAATTCACTGCAATGGGTCGACTATGTGTGCTGTGGTTCATTCAGTCTGGCTTGCACCACCTCAGGAAGGCTTTAGTGTAACAAAATCAGCCAGCGACTCTACAGGAGCCAATTTCTTTATGAATAAATCCAGAGCGAAATCTTCTCTTGGAGTCGCGTCTGGGTTTCACACCATACTTTCTGCAGTGCTGCTGGTTCAGATGGAACCCCTGATGAATGCAATGATGAACTGGCAGCTTTAAATGAAATAGGTCCAGTGTGGTCTGGGTTTCTGCTTTACATGCTGCTCCTCATAGATTTTCATCATCAGTCTTGAAGCTTTTGTGACACATTGTTAAAATTTGTCTTATCTGAAATGCCTATACCAATTAGAAGGCAGATATTTCAAGATTTTAGCTGGTCTTATTGAATGTAATTGTGATTTTACAGACTAGATTTAGTGAGAGAGTCCCTGTTTGTTGGCTTGAGCGAACTGTGATTGACTGGGGGAAACCACAAAGAGTGACTGCTCTCGGTTAAATGTTTTATTTAGTAAAAGTGGATATCAACCACACAGCCATCTCTCCTCTTTCACAATCTTCCTGAATGTGTTTTGACAGTTATAGTAGGCTATTTGTGATCAGATTAGTTTAGTGCTGTGCTCTTTAGAAAGATAAACTGACTCCAACAGCGTGACAAAATAAAACAGTTTTCATGGGATGGAAAAAGGTTAAAATGAGCAAAAGACCATGTTCTGCTTAAAACAAAACAGTTTTCATGGGATGGAAAAACGTTAAAATGAGCAAAAGACCATGTTCTGTTTTTTTTTTTAATGGTGGAGTGGTCCTTTAAAGAGCTTGGATGGCGTGAGAGGCCCAGCAAGTTGTCTCATAGCTGAGATGCCTCGGTGCTTTGCAGATAGGAAAGGCAGCTTTCAGCCCAGACCTGACGCTGGTGGGGAGGAGCTGGGGTGGCCTGGCAAACAAAGGAAAGAAACGGAGAGAGATTAAAACATGACAACGATGCACAATTTTCTCTCAAATGAAGAACATCCGACGTGTATCTCTGCATTACGACGTTTTCGTTTACTATTTCAAACACGGTGAAGCACATTTCCACCATTTCTCTTTCTCTCAAGTAGCAAAACGGAGCTGGGTCTCATCAGACACCAGTTATTCGATCCTAACACCTTTACCTTCATACTGATGTCAGCGGCACAACGTTGCAAATCTGTGTATAAAAACAATATCCATGTTTGTTATTCATTTTTTAAAATGTATTTACGAACAAAATGCTGCTCTCTATATGATTACCAAGGCTCAGTACAATGTATCATGTGGAATCTGTTCAAATATAAACATAATGAAAGGCGAAGGGTGAAGTCAAGAAATATTTTCCTCTAATCCCATCAGGGTCATAAACCTACAGCCGCTTATTAATTTAGGAGCAATCAGAAGTGACGCAGCGACAGTGTGCTGAGCTGCAATGTCTTAATTGACACGCAAAAAGGCCTGTAAAACCTTCTCCTTGATGTGTGTTTGTGTGTTTGCTGTCACCAAGCGGGGGGAAATACCTGCCCCCGACACAAAATACAATTTAGTTACAAAATGCTGCCACCCAAAGCTCTGAAATGCAGCTTTTATTTATTTATGTAGTGTTATTACCCAGTTACCAAATTCCCCCTGAATAAGAGCATCTGTTTTTCCTATGAAGGCCACCTTCACAAAGAAACCTTCAGAAATATCTCCCGACCTTTATTCTACATATATAAATTATTATTATTACATTATTGTTATTATTATTATTATTGTTACATTTTTGAGTATATTTATTTATTGCAACGTCTGTGTCGGTTTTAGAACTGAAGCCTGTTGTATTGGCATCTTAATCTTCGTTTTCCCTTTACATCTGTCCGTTCTGCCATACGTGGGCCGCCTGTCTTCCATGTGGTGTCAAATAAAACAGCCATGGATCCACTTCTGTCACAATCTCGCCCTCGCTGACACCATAAACCTGCTTTAGGCACCAGAGTGCCGACCGCGGAGTCAGGTGATACCAGACAAAGCTTTTACGCACAAGGTTCTGCCATGTTTATGCACGGACATGTGCTGGTTTGATCTTTTAGGGGCCGTTTTGTCTGTCACTTTAATGTTAAGAAACACAAAAGAGTTAGAGGGACTACACGTCCTTTAAAAAATGATAACTGATCCCCTTAATTTTCTCCTCTCTTTCTTCAGATGACCCATCGGCGAACTGGCTGCACGCTCGCTCATCCAGGAAGAAGCGATGCCCCTACACCAAATACCAGACTCTGGAGCTGGAAAAGGAGTTCCTGTTCAACATGTACCTCACGCGGGACCGGCGGCATGAGGTGGCGCGCGCACTCAACCTGACGGAGCGGCAGGTGAAGATCTGGTTCCAGAACCGCAGGATGAAAATGAAGAAGCAGAGCAAGGACCAACCCAAGGACTAGTGGAGCTCTTACTTTGCGCACAGGCGCACACACATTAAAACGCACATGCACTCATGAGCACATCATGTATCCAACATAAAGGTCTGGAAAACAAAATGCCTTTCATAAGAACGGCATATATCCACTCACATTTCATGTTTCTGTCTAAACCTCCAGGTACCATCACGTGCGCTTCAATCCAGTAACACTAATCTTTATAACCGATCAACTGTTTTATTGATCCTTGACAGACGCCCGATGGCCAGTAACATGTGGACAGTGGCTGGAGCTTTGGCAACATTTGAGTGTGTTAATGCAGGATGACTGGGAAGAACTCACTGATCAACATCAACTCCTCCTGGATTTCCTCACCAATGGGTCGGGCTCCATGAAAACTGTGGATTGGACTGTATGTTTGATATCCTGATAGCTTTTGAGCGTCCTATGTCTTCATAGTTTTATATTATACCAATTATTAGTCTTTGGTATTAGGCTGCATTATGAAAGGAAAGAAAGCAGCCTGGTGACAGGTCTGGGGTTGGGGCAGATAGATACACTCACAGAGAGCTTTTTTTTGTAAATTTCCTTTTTCTCTGTAGGACCAATCTTGCATATATTAGTTATTATGGTTCTGTGGCTGAAACCAGAGTTTCACGTGGCCATCAATAAGCGGGAAGGAAGGATGTGGATGTACACATAGGTCTTTATCCTGCTTCTTCTTTTCTTGTTTTTCTCATTGCTGGCAGGCTTTGATTACAAAGCGCCTGATAGTCGCCGCTGATACAAACAGCAATCAGCCGTTTGTTTCCCGGTTGTCGGCCTAAGTAATGAGCAGATACCTTGGGGGAGTTGAGAAGTAATGATAGGTGCAGGGGTGTTAACCCGACTCAGCAACCGGGGATCCGATTAAGCTGCTGTCGATACTGTGTCCCTGCCCTTCGGCAACCTCTCCGGATGTTTTATGCGCTGCGGCGGTGTCTCATCCACGGCCTGTATCGGCTGTGGATAGTTGTCCCCTCTGCTTCACAAGAGCCCGGAGTTACAGGGTTTATCTGCGAGGGGACGCAGCATAAATGGATCATCAGCCTTTAAATTAAGCTGATATCTACGTCACACCTTCCAGGTGTAAGTAGCTCTCATCACCTCAGACACAATTTACTTTGCTCCTTCTCCGGTTCCTACTCTGCACACCATCAGACACTTCTAGAGGTGACATACACACTTCTTGTTCAGACAGGCCACATCTTTCATAGCTGCTAACTCGTTTACTCTTTTCCTGTAAATAAAGTATCAATTTCAGTTGCGCACAAAGTCCATGTGCGCACGCATTGGTCTTCACTCTGCAGACTAAAAAAATTCTCAGTCATCGTCTTTCAACCTCAACGCGGTTCCTGCGCTGCATGTTAACAAAGAATCAGCTCTATTTTTTATACATACCCAATATTGCGTGCTTTCTCCCGTGTGCTTTTATCTGTCATTTCAGATACGGATAGTTTGCGTAACGGCGGTTAACAAACACAACCTGTGACTGAAGGAAAGCCCAGATGAGCTCATGTTTATAGGCGAATGTTAAAATCCCGGTCAGGGTTTATTTTATTTTATTTTCCTAGAGGTTTCATTCCTAGAGGTTTTATTACAAGATTATATCAACAGACGCAACAGAAAACATACGATTTATTGCCGCTCGAAATATTTTAGCAATAGTTTTCTACATTTAATAACTCTGAGTATTATCTTGTTAGACTTCAGTTCATGCAAAGTTTTATTGATCTGCGCGATAACGAGGCCATGGTGGAAGGCCGGCCTGCTACTGTGGCATTATGTGAAGTGTCGGCATAGTTAAATGGCGTCCGATGGCAGTTTTATAGACGGATCATAAACAACACGTTGGCTTTTTAACGTCTACAACTGTGCGTGTGTGTGTGTGTGTGTGTGTGTGTGTGTGTGTGTGTGTGAGAGAGAGAGAGAGAGAGAGAGAGAGAGCGCTTGCAGACCACATAGGCATTTACATTTTAAGAATTAGACACAGTCCATGCGTATAGCTTACACCCACACACACCCACACACACCCACACACACGCTTGTGTGGATATTGCCTCCAGTTTAGTTTGTGTTACTTCAATTTTGACTTTACATGCAGGAGTGAACGGGTCTAGGCTACAACCAGCCTCTTTTGCAAAGTCTTACACAGAGAAGCGCTCGATTTCTATCGTTCAGCAGCATCAGATCTTTATTTACGAGTAATAATGTTTACATGGTCTTCGCATGCCTCAAGTCACTCGTCATTTTGAAGGCGTTATTTCGTCGTTTAGGTCTTTGTATGATCAATCTGTCGGAGGGGAATGCTTACTGAGGAATGAAAAAAAGAATAAATAGAAGTTTCTTGATAGGAAATGTTTCTAATTTATTGTATATATTGTGAGTAACCTCGTCTTTCTAATTGGAATGCGTTAAATACGCGGAATATTATTTTTGTCTTACTGGGACATGACATTTTGCTGTAGGCTAATATAGATGGGTTTTTTTGTTTGTTTGTTTGTTTGTCTGTCATGTCCTTTAGATTGTGTTTTCTATGTTGTCGTGCCAACTGTCTGAATAATCTGTTCTGATGTCAATCCGATGATCTCTGTGTGTCTAGACCTATAGTTTGTTTAATGGTGAACAGTAGCGAGTTGGACTCTGCTGATGTAAATGCTGTTAAGTACTGGGACGGAGAAGACCAAAAGGTTTTGCTAACAGGAAGCAATTCTTCTGTAGAAATGATGGATTTGTTTTAAGCATATGAATGTGTTACTTCCTGTCCCAGTATTTATACTCTGCTGCCCGGAGGAACACAGTTTCTGGAGTTTTTGTTTGCTGATAAATGTGGATGCAATTCCAAGTCATTCTGGTTTCCTCTCCGCTTTTTATTGGAACAAGTCGAAGTCATGTGGCCCCAGTAAAGACCAACTCCAGCGACTCTGATCCTCTCCTCCATGTGAAATGTTCCAGTCCCTTCTTCTATGTTGGTTCTCTTCTTTCTTCTGTGTTGTTGTTGTCGTCTCTTGTTTCTCTGTGCGATGGCACTGCTGATGCTGGATTCCTATTAAAGAACAAAACTTTACAGTATGACCAGACTTCGTCTGAATGCACTGTGGCTAATGGA